CACAGTGCGCTCTCCGGTTAATCCCCTGGAACCAAGCAAGCTCAAATACAGTTCTAGGAAATTAAAATTTGGTTTTAGCCTCAAAATCTGTAGATATGGAGAAGAAAATTTTCCTCATGTAGTTCTCGCTATAGCCACATTAAAATGGTGCAGATGCAGGCACAAAGGCACTTGTGAACACGCTCAGATGAAAATTCATGACCAGAGAACGAGAGAGTCCTCACGTGCGCCTGATCCTATCCCACCCCCCAAAAGAAAAAACAGAAAACAAAAAGAAATCCCTTGCTCTGATATCCATACGAGAAAAACATATTATGCATCCTCTGAACAAACAGAACAGCTCTTATCAACATTTGTTATTTTCGCATGCACATGTTAACGTGTAAAAACGAAAGGCCAGGAAAGACATATATCTAATGATTCGGAGAAAATAGGCAAAAGTAAGAATAATAGCAATAACAACGCCCCTTGAATTAAAGGACCTTCCGCATGAATTGATTACGCAAAAACCACAAGTTACCAAAAAGATACATCATTTAGGAGCAAACTTCAATGCCGAGAGACCTCCACACCCGGAAAAGCCTTCTCCTTGCCTTTTCAGTTCAGCCGCAGAGATACATTAATGGTTAATGGCTCTTTGGTGTTTTAAGTGGAAACAGAAAAAAGTGATCCTGCATATAGGATCGTCCAAAATTCAAGGAGAAGGTGGTGCTGCGCTTTCCTTTTCTTATAGGAAATAGAAACTTTCCGAACAAGCTGGAAAATCGACAAAAGGGTGGCATAAACCAGCGCGGAAGTTTCCGACCGGGAGGAGCGTAGCTTGAGTATTTCTATAACGCAATTACTGAAGGTAGATATCCCCAACTTACAAAACATGGACCGAAACAGACAAAATCACCAATTTCACTCTGTCAACCATCGGCTCCGAGGAAAATCGGGCAGCAACAGAACCGCGAGGACGACGAAATGTCTTAGGAGTCCGGATTTTCAGACCAATGATTTTCCAATGTGAATTCGCAGTATTATCAATCGGTATGCCGGCGCGTACACGAGAACACGAGAAAAAGTAAACCGCAGAAAGGAAGAATCGTAGGAAAGGATGATTGAAAGGTACATGGAACGAGACGACGAAAGAGATTTCCGAGAGGCGTCGAATCCTCCTCCTCCTCCATTTTCGGAAGCTTTCTTCTTCCCATGCGACAGGCTCGACAGCGATACGCTTCTCCTCGACGAACCGCTTTGACTCGCCATCTTCACCGACTATCAACACACACCACCAATCCCACCTCCTCCTCCCTGTCCTCCAAGAAAATTCCTGCAACAAAGGCATGGTCAACCACCACAAAACAACAAAATCGCAGAAACCAAGGCCTTCGCGCGGAAGCGACTCCAACCCGACAATTCTGCCCCAACCTCGACCGACGAAATTCAAATCGAATGAAAAGAAGAACAAGAAAGCGGGGAACAACACGCACCGACAAGACGACGCCGGTTCCTCCGGCGACAGAAACCGATTGAACCGAAGACCGAAATCTCAATCCCGATCGACTATGATGAATACGAGCGAGGCATGAAGCTCGATCGCCCGGAAAAGGAAAAGAGAAAAAAAACGACGGTACCGCCCCCGCCTCCTGCTCGCGAGGACGAGGGAAGAGGGAAAACTCCGGTTTCCCCGGAGAGGAGGAGGCCGCCGGAATCCGGCGAGGAGCGGAGGATTTGCCCGGAAAAAGTTTTCTGGCCGGGGAATCCCGATCGGAACTTTCTCGATTCCCCCGGGAGAATGGAGCGACCGGGGAGATGGACCGGGGCGACCTAAAGAAGGGAAGGGAAGGGAAGGGAACGGAGCGCGCATGCGCAGGGTGGGGGTGGGGGGACAGTGAAAATTTCGATTCTATTGGAAGCGGGCCAATGAGGGGCGGACACGTCGCCGGTTCTTCTTACCTGGTCGAAGGTCCTCCAACGAGAATGGGGGAATTTCGCTGGCCAGAGGAAAAAATATAAAAAATATAAAAAAAAAACACGCGAACAAACGGTACGGGGGAAATTCCGAGCTTCGACCTTCGAGGATTGTGAGGTCCGTAAACGCGCTTCGAATTTCGATCGAACCAGGTTGATTTCTTTTTTTTTACGGGATAAACAAATTTTCAAACTCCCCTCTTTGTTCTTTTCTTTTCTTGCTCTGTTTTTTTGGTCGAAAAGTTTTTTGACCGTGTATTTTTTTTCTATAAGGAAGGAAATAGATGGAGGGAATAGGTGCATTTTCCCCCCTTCTTATTTGTCCGAATGAATTTGATCTTTATAAAGGTTGTTTTCGCATGACGTGATGACGTAGAAATTTGGGATAAGTTCGCCGGAAGTCTTAAAACTTGTCACGAAAAGTGTAATTAAGCCCTAAAACCTAGTGCAATCGAGTTTTAAAAATTTCAAAAAGTGCAATAAACGGAATGACTTGATTGGATCAATTTGACAAGTTTAAGAACCCGATTGCACTTTTTAAAAGTTTTAGGACTCGATTGCACTTTTGTGATAAGTTTTGGGACTTAATTGCATTTTTTGAAAGTTTTAAGACTCAATTTGCACTTTCGTGATAAGTTTTAGAACTTCCAATTCACTTTATTTTTAATATTAAAAGACGAGTGTACAAAGAATCGTTGTATAGCTTAGAACTTGCACTGATTGAGGGTTTAGATCGACTTCACGAGAGTACGGGGTACCTTCCACTTTTAAATCCATAAATACGCCTCTTGCCTTCAACTTCTTTTAGAAGAAAATAAAAATTAGGGGCTTGTCCTGATAAGGGTTGGCAGTCGACGCTAGAAAGTGTAATGCGTCATGCGCATGACTTGCCAATTTTCACGTCGCCATTGAATTAGAAATTTGGATACGTCAAGTGACTTGATGATGGTCATCCCAATTTCAATTATTCTTTCCTTCGTAACAAGACCAACCCGATGCCATTTTCACTGGATGCTGGACCCCGCCGCAATGCGTGGATCTAGTTAAAACACCTGTTTCAAAAAAAAAAAGAATTATAAAAAAATGCTGAACAATTTTCAAAAGTGCTAAAACATCTGTGAAATTACATGATAATAGTAACGAAAAATCCTTTTTTGCATTAGAATTCCGATTAACCTATTTAGTTAATAAAGAATTGATGAATAGAAACACATTACCATAAATGGTTGACATTTTGCTAAAATTTCCTCATTAGGAAGGACTATTAGTATCTAGGCCTAATACCCGAAAAAATCTCAAACTTTAATTTTTGTCCCAATTCTACATTTTGTTTCATAAAAAACCTTTCAACTTTAGGTTATGTCCTAATTTTACCCTAAAATTTTTTTTGGTCTTATAAAAAATCATCAACTTTAGGTCCAGTCCCAATTTCTATCCTAAATTTTTTTTGTCTCATAAGAAACCATCAACTTTAAGTCGAGTACCAATTTTACCCTAAATTTTTTTTATCTCATATAAAAATTCCAACTTTAGGTTCAATTTCAATTTTACTTTAATTTTTTTTGTCTTATAAAAGGTCACCAACTTTTACTTAAGTCTCAAATCTGCTCTCCATTAACTTTCCGTCAAAATCGCCCTTAGTGAATTTGCGCTCGTCGATCTCTCGTGCTTGGGAATGTTCCATCTCTCGCGGTAGGAGAGCGCTCAAGATGCTTGAACAGCTCATGCTTGAGAGTTTTCCATCTATTAGTTGTCAACGAGAAATTTTGGATGAAGAGTTAACGGGGGCGGATTTGTGGCTCAAGTAAAATTTGTGGTTTTTCATGAAACTGTAAAATTTTTAGAGTAAAATTGGGACAAGACCTAAAGTTAGGGGTTTTTCATAGGAAAAAAAACTTCAGGGTAAAATTAGGACATGTCTTAAAGCTGAGGGTTTTTTATGGGATAAAAAAAATTATGGTAGAATTGGGAATGAACCTAAAGTTTGAGGTTTTTTACAAGACAAAAGGTAAAATTGGGACAAAAGTTAAAGTTTGAGGTTTTTTAAGGTATTAGGCCTTAATATCTAACACAAAAGAGATGTTGTTGTACTCAAGTCTCGCAAGTGCGCTTGGCAATAACTATTGTAGAATTTTATTGAAAGGATCGATAGTAAAATATATCTATATGGAAAATTTGCAGAAATATCTATACACCGAGACAACTTTCCCTATAATTACAAGACATAAATGCGAAAAAATAAAGTCTAAAAATGCATTACCCTTTCATATAGGAATTTGAATCTTCAATAAACTATCCCTTCTTTTTATGTTATGTCTTTTATTGTTTTGTTTGAACTATTTAGGCGAACATAGTACGTACTTCCATTTTTAACAAAAAAAGAAGAAAGAAAAGAGAGAGACACGTGAATTCGAAAAGTCATGGTGTGGCATTTGTACATCACAAAACTCATAGTGCGGGTCACATACAATGAAAACCGTCATTTAAAACTAGAAGTGGTGAAATTCACACTTGAGTTCCTAGAAGATTGAATGTGTATGTTGCACATGTTTTACATTGATGAGCTCTAAAATTCGGAAAAAAGAAAGTGATGAATAAGTCTCCGTATGTTGTGCGGAAAATGAATAATTTCGAAAACATTTTCCAAAAAATGATCGCTCGTATTGCTTGAAGTAATTAGCCATCGAAAAATGCTTTCCCTATCGATAATAATTTCTACTTAAATATTTTCGCGAACGATGAAAATATTTTTCGTTCATTCATTTTTTGAAAAATGTTTTCCAAAATCATCGGAAAAAAACATGATCATTCTCCGACCTCCATGTCCATTGGGCCGACAGTCTGAGCCCAACACAAATGTTTCACAAACGGCCCATGGGCCGTTGCCAAGCCATGCCGGGCCGCGAACAAGCCCCCCCGATCGTGGGGGGTGCGCGTGCCACCCTAGGAAATCGGGACCGTCGAAGATGCAAGAGCAACACGTTCGTTCCGGTTACCCAGCAGTTGTCCCCCTCCCGACGAGCCACCGCATCCCTCCATGCACTTCAAAAATTCAAAACGAGTCGCCTTCCACTTCGCTCTCCGTCTCTTCTCCTTCCCTCTCCAAGACCGCGAAGAAGTCAGGAGGCGCAGGGGACGTAAAGCATTTACAGAGCTTTTCAGCGATGGGGGATTGGGGACCGGTAATCATAGCGGTGGTGCTGTTCGTGCTGCTCAGCCCGGGGCTGCTGTTCCAGATCCCGGGGCGCCACCGGGTGGTCGAGTTCGGCAACATGCAGACCAGCGGCGCCTCCGTCGTCGTCCACGCCGTCATCTTCTTCGGCCTCGTCACCGTCTTCCTCGTCGTCATCGGCGTCCACATCTACACCGGATAATCGCTAGGTTATAGTGAAAGTGCGTTGCCTTGCGATCTGACGGGCTCTGCTCTTGTTATTTTGGACAGGCGGGTATCGGTGTTTGGTTTGCGGTTGGCGTTTCCCTTTCTCATTCTCTCTGTCAGTGTCTGTACAATTTAGTACTTGGCGGGTTCATTGTATCATTGTTAGTGCTATTGGTTTTGCCATTTCTTACCGGCCTGAACAGTGTCCTTTTTCTGTGATCGACAGAGAGAGAGAGCTCTCATCATTAACAAGTTTGTTTCTTTTAACATATGCATGTGCTGTTTATGGCAACTTAATTGTCTGCAGATCGTAAGAAGGCTCTGAAGAAGACTACGTATCGCATGACCCCTCTTGTGTTGGCTTTAGATATGTGGATGCTGATCTACTTTGTCAGGGCATCAATACACTACTCTGAAGGAGTCGAGAAAGCCCACACACGTCACGGTGATGCATAACTGTTGTAGACCCGTTATTAACCTTTTCACGCTCTCTCAGTTCTCCACTCTCTTTCTTTCATGTCAGTTCATGACAAAGCAACTTGACCCATCGTGCTAAACCTAGAGCATTTTCACCGTGCTAAACTTAAGCTGTATGCTGCCAACTTGGTTTACAAACGCGACGAGGACTTATGTTTCACAACGGAACGATGTTACTTGTCCTGCTAAGAAAAAGCATGCCATGTGAGTATTATCATATAGAATGAAATCTTCTAGGGCAACAAGTTTCGAATGCGACGTTAGGTCATTTAGGGAGGGATGTTGAGCAAAGCCCTGCTACTTGCTTTGCTAACAATGGCATGACTGCAAGTAGAGAATCCAAAAAAGCCATTTCCTTCGCACCCCTCCGAATATTGCTGCGCAAGCGAAAGCTCCGTGAAGAAGTACGTCGATATCAATTGAATTGACCCATCTGAAAAAGACGAGGAGCGGCCCAACAGGACAGAAGTCGCATTCTTTCTCCCCTGGTCTCCATGCCTCGATCGTTGTACTGTTGTTTCCGTGCCCTCTCCGAGGCGAAATCGTCGGAAACAAAAAAAAAGAGAGAAGATAAGTATAAAAGCAATGTCCTTCTTTTATCACATGACAGGAATAGGCCAATCAAGGAAAAGATAAAAGTATAGATAGAACTCTTAGAAGATGACGCGAAAATGACAGGATCTTACAAATTAAGTCAATATGAAAATACTAGAGAAATAAATAAGGAACGATAAGGGACACCAGAGATTTATGTTGTTCGGTCAGAATGTCGGTACTTACATTCACGGGGAGAGTCAGCAATAAATAATCCATTATATTGAAGAATCAGAGTTACAAATCGTTCAAACGCTCAAGTGTTTTCTACGTTTAGATTTAAGTCAAAATTCAAAATGTCTACGAATAAATAACTCAATTGGACGAAATAAACTTGAAGTACAAATCACCGCGTGTTGAAACCCAAAGCAAAATGCTCACGTATGGCTCGTAACAAGAACGTGCATCTGACGTTCTTTTCTTTTCTTCTTCGCGCGGCTCGTCTTCGGCACTGTGCGGCTTCATGCGGCTCTCGGATTGTGCGGCGGCTTAAATCCAAGAAAAGAACTCTTCTTTTCTTTTGGACGGGTTTCACAGGAAGCAAGACCTAGCCCCTTCATTTTCTTTCCTTCTATTACCCCTGGGCCCACAAGCTTTTCTCTGCAGCTTCAAGGAGTCAAAGGATTAACTCCTTTTGCTGACCGCCCAACTTCAGGACAAAGATGTCCACTGTACGTGTCACAAGAAGGATTTCTTTTGTGGGCAATTTTGAATATTTTCTCCAACAGAAAATATATATCTTCACGGCCGAATATGAAAACTTACTTAAGTCACGTTCCGTATGCAATTCAAACTCGAGTCATAATCTAACAATTCTTTACCTTAACTCAATGTTTGTAATCAAGTCATAGTACTCATCATCTATGTTGTTCTCTCAACGCCCCGACAAACGTTCATTCTCCACAGACACTAATTGTGCTCAAGCAAAGCTTGAGCTTCGCCAAAGGAACACGCTTAGTCATCATGTCCGCAGGGTTATTTGATATCGCAATCTTTTTAACAACAACCATACCCTTCGCTAAGACATCTCGAATGAAGTGGTACTTGATGTTGAAATGTTTCGTTCGTTCATAATAAATCGGATTATATATCAAATATATTGCACTTTAGTTGTCACAGTGTATATCAACACTTTTATGATCTAACCCAAAGTCCGAGAGAAAACCTTTTAACCATATCGCCTCCTTCGCTATAAAGGTCAGTGCCATGTACTCTGCCTCAATCGAAGACAAGGCAACGTGATTCTGTAAGGATGCCTTTCAACTAACTGCACCACCTGCTAGCGTAAATACGTACCCTGCTAAAGACCTGCATTCATCCAAGTCACCGGCATGATCCGAATCCACATAACCAGTGGTCTAACTGCCATTACTGTCCTTTCGGTACACAATTTCAACGTCTGCTGTCCCCTTTAAATATCTGAGGATCCATTTCACAACTTCCCAATGAGCTTTATCAGGACTCTTCATATAGCGACTAACAACGTTCACTGCTTGTGAAATATCAGGCCTAGTGCATACCATAGCATGCATAATACTACCCACTGCACTAGAATAAGGAACACGGGACATATGCTACTCCTCTTCCTCAGTTTGTGGTGATAACTTATCTGAAAGTTTAAAGTGCTTTGCTAAAGGTGTACTCACAGATTTCGCTAACTGCATATTAAATCATGCAACAATCTTCTCGATAAATTTCTTCTAAGAAAGACGTAAAATTATTGCAGTTTTGTCACACAAAATCTCCATACCCAATATTTTCTTTGCAGCACCTAAATCTTTCATCTTAAATTTAGCACTCAATTGCCTATTTAGCACATCAATATCAGACATATTCTTATCTGCTATCAGCATATTATCGACATATAACAATAGATATATCAAAAACCCATCCTCCAATCTCCTAAAATAAACACAGCTATCCATTTGACTTTTAGAATAGTCCTGACTAGCCATGAAAGAATCGAAACGTTTATACCACTGCCTAGGAAACTGTTTCAACCATTACAAAGATTTCTTCAATAAGCAAACATGAGCTTCCTTACCTGAAATAGCAAATTCCTCTGTCTGCCTCATGTAAATCTGCTCCTCCAACTCACCGTGAATAAACGCCGTTTCCACATCTAGTTGCTCCAGCTCTAGATCCTATGCAGCAACCAAGGTAAGTAAAACACGAATAGAAGTATGTCTTACCACAGGAGAGAAAATATCGTTGTAGTCAATGCCCTGCCTCTATGTATACCCCTTCGCAACAAGTCTCCCCTTGTATCTTGCTGCCTCGACATCGGGAATACCCTCCTTCTGTTTAAAGACCCACTTACTTCCAACAATCTTTTGGCTCTTGGGTTCTTTGATTAGCTCCCATGTCTAATTTCGATAGAGTGATTCCATCTCTTCACTCATAGCCCCTATCCACCGTGACGACTCAGAACTAGCCATTGCTTTAGGGTAAGACGAAGGTTCATCTGTCTCCATTTCGTCACCTATAGTCAATGCATAAGCAATATATGTATAACTATAACGTACCGGTGGTTTAATTTGCCTTCTCTGTCTGCCCGCAGCTATAGTGTGCTGCGACTTTGCTGGTTGTTCAGTATCACCGACTTCAGGAACTGCGGCTTCATCTACAGTCTCTACTTCTGTTACCTCCGAGGTCTCCGGAGTCTCCACCTCGCTACTGACACCCCGATCTGTCTGCTCTCTTGGTTGTGTCGCAAGACCCCTTCTTTGAAGAATTGCAATTTCGTCTAAGATCACATCTCTACTAATTAGAAAATTGGGTGATTTGGGATCAGTGCACCACAGCCGGTATCCTTTCACCCCATGTGCATAACCCAAAAATATGCACTTCTTCGCTCTCGGCTCAAGCTTATCATCACTCGCATGAGCATATGTAGGACATCCGAATACTCGTAATCCGGAGTAATCAACAGATTTTCCCGACCATACTTCCTTAGGAGTCTTTCACTCATTAGCCGATGATAAAGATCGATTTATCAGGTAATATGCCATGTTCACTGCTTCGGCCCAAAATTCCTTGCCTAAATCTACATGCGAAAGTATGCTCCAAGCTCGCTCCAGTAAAATTCTATTCTTCCGTTCTGCAACGCCATTATGTTGTGGCGTCCCGGGCACTGTGCGGTGTCTCACAATCCCTTCTTTCTCGCAGAACTCGGTAAAACCTTTACCACATAACTCCATGCCGTTATTGATTCTCCGGCAGTTGATCTATTTATTTTACTGCTTCTCAATCAATGCCTTAAATTTCTTGAACCGATCAAACACATCAAATTTGTGCTTAAGAAAGTATACACATACCTTTCTCGAGTAGTCGTCGATAAATGACAGCATATACCAGGCACCTCCTTTCGAAGGAACCGGAGACGGGTCCCAAACGTCTGAATGAATATACTAGTCGCTTAGTCAAATGAATAGATGTTGTAAACTCGATCCGACACTGCTTTCAGAAGATGCAGTGCTCATATAAGTCCAGTTTCCCTGTCTTCTGACCCTTTAATAACCCCCTGTCACTAAGTATCGGTATACCTGCCTCACTCATGTGCCCCAAACGTATATACCATAATCGAGCCAAGTTAGAATCTGACTCACCTGATGAAATTGCAGCAGCTTCGGTCATGGTCTCTCCTAGTAGATGATAGAGAGAACTCATTTTCTTTCCTTTCATCACTGTTATGGCACCTCGAGAGACCTTCAGCACTCAACCTTCAATGGTGTACTTACACTCGATATCATCGAGTGTCCCTAGATCAATAAGGTTCTTCTTGAGCTTTGGTTCATGCCTTACGTTTGTCAGTGTGCGTACCACCCCATCGTGCATCCGAATCCGAATTGTTCCTATCCCCACAACATTGCAGGTTGCATTATTCCCCATCAAAACTCTACCACCATCTGCAGTCTGGTAAGTAGTAAACCAGTTCCTATAAGGCATCATATGATAAGAACACCTCGAATCTGGCACCCATTCGTCTCCTAACGAACCAGTAGTCATACACAAGACGGCCTTTGCATCACTAGTGCTCTCCTCAGCAACGTTTGCCACACTGCTTGTGGCATTCTACTTGTCACCTCTATTTCTTCTCTTCG